TGGAGACAACATCAGAAACTGAGAGGTGTGGTGTTGCGCTTTTTAAGTAAAGACCTTGTGTCCCTCAAAGGGCTCATGGAGCCTTGTCCCACTCTCTCCTGGTCAAACCACATGTATTTATTCTTAATCATCACAGACTTTCTAAATGTGCAATTGTTATTAAGATTTGTGTAAAAATCAATAAAGAAAAATCACCACAGAAAATTCTGCTATGCCTTAAATCAGCAAAGGCGGTTAAAAGGGAGGTGTTTGCCGACTGCCTAGAGAACAATCCTTTCATCGACGAGGTTATACAATCCACCACTATTAAGAGGTCACTTTTTGGTTGTTTCGTTGGGTTTTGGTAATCAAATATAGAACCAAAGCAATAGGCAGCCCTTAGATTCTTCTGGCATGTTGCAATCGTTAGACAGTAGCAATACCTTTGTGTTTTTATCCATTTGTAAATATAGGCTTTTGACAGCATTTGTTTTCACCTTCCAGTACATTTCTTTTTTTTTTTTTTTTTTTTTTTTTAAGTTAAAAAGGTGACTTTCTAGCTATTTTCTGTGTTTTTGTGTGGTTGGGTGATAGCCTCAGGTGATGAGGTTTAGGTAAGTTTTTTTCATTGTATTTTTGTGCCTACAATGGAGGCTTCAGCATCTCACGAAATACAGTTATCTCTTTAGCAGAAGATTCAAGGGCAGAAATCCAGCCAAGTAACTTTCCTCAGCTATACACAGCCTCCCAGATTCATGAAACATCACATTTGTTTTAAGTGTACAAACAGAAATGGGTGGAAAATATCTGAGCAAAACTGAAAACTGTAGAGGAAAATGCTGTTAGTGTGCAACCTGTGCAGAGATGCTTACAAAACCATGTCCATCAACAAACTTACCAAGAAACAATTGTACCATCATTGTTGGCTTGTGTCCAGCATTTTCGGCCCCAAGATTATGTTGTAATTTTTTTAAGAGGAAGTTGTCTTTAATTTCTGCTTTAATGAATGTAAAATATGCCTCTTGGTAAAGTTTACATTGTTGTTCTTAAGCATTTTTTCCCTTATAGGTATACTGGTGGTGGTGCTACAAACACAGATATTATTTAATATTAACAAATTCCCTTTCTACATTTCTGTATCCAGTGGCAAGTACTCTGTGCCAGTTATTTTGCTTGAAACTTTAATCCCAAGACAGCTAACGTTCTGATCTTTGAAAATTTACCTGTTTTCCTTGGGCAATAATAAAGTTCTGACTATTATTCCAGAATGCTTTCCACATGCTGTAGGTATGTTCAGAATATGAACATGGAAAAAAAGAAATAAGCCTGGTGTGACATTTCCTATCCTTCATAGAATATTAATATATTGTGTATTTTAATAAATGTTGTGCAATAACTTAAATTACAGTAGAGATAGTTAAAGCAGAGGAGAAAACTTCATTCTTCAAATATTGCTCTATCTGCATACCATATTAAACATTCATTCTGTGGGAAGGGAAAATACAAACCCCTCTTAAAATACAGTCCTCAATTTGTGGATTTCCAGCTTTCATCACCGAGACAGCTGTGGGTAAATTTTCATAATAATCTAAGTAACCAGTACATATGTTATGTACAGTATATCCACTGAAACATAGATGGACTCAACTGGCTGCTGCCACCTTTGTTTTTTTATATTGAAAAAATAGTTCACGGAACTGTACTTCTAGAAAGAACACAGGTATTGTATTATGGTGCTAAGGAAAGAAAAATCTGATCTTGCATGTGATGCTGTATTCTTCAGCCCCAAAGGCATTTGACAGCTGTTTAGCTTTAACCCTTGTTATTCAGTAGAACACTTTAAAAAGAATGCTTCTTTGAAACCACTAAAGGTAATGTGCACACAAGTGCATTTCCACTCTGCCACACTGTTAGTGACCTGGTGGACGTTATTCTGCCTTTATGCAGTTGTAGCTGAAATAAGATGAGCCTTAACACCATGAAAAAGAAATCGGTTTAAGTCTAGACAAGCTCTTCAATAAAAATAAAATGGAGTAAAAAAAAGATAAGAAAAAGGTGGGTCAATAAATTATTAAGTTGGCAACAGATTTTAGCTTTCAACCTAGCTGTTTTACTGGGTTATAGAATTATTAAGTAAGTCTATCTATTGTTCCCTATACAGCACAGACAAGGTACATCAAAGAAAAAAAAGAAGATAAGCCCTCTGTAGCTCAGCTTTTTGAGCTCCAAGAATTCACGAGCCTGTAACAAAGTGTGCCTATGTTAAAAGTTTTCAAAATTTTCCTGAGCAACAAGAGGTCATTTCTGGAATAAAAGTCGTCTTTTCTGACATTCCCATGAGGCTAGTAGTGTGTTTTGGGAGATACTTAGACAGATCCGTAGCTTGTATCAGTTGTTTGCATCATCTTGTCTTCAGCTAAATGAGGATAATTTATAAAGCAAGGACAAGACATGATGTTAATTGCTCCTCATGTGGGAATACATCATCATGAACCATTTTTGTTTTGTGTTTGTGGAGGTACAGCTCTTCGTGCACCTGCCTGCTGTATTTAATACCTTACCCCTGAGGGAAGGGCCCGTGGGGCTGTGTGCAGAAAGTGTTGCTCGGAGTGAACAGTGGTACCTGACCTTGGCCCTTGGTGAACTGCCTGTGATGGATTTTTTTGGTGTGAATTATCATAACTTTTTTTTTTTTTTTTAATGTAAACTTACAACGCAGAATACTCCTTTGCTCAAGGACGTTTTTTTCCTGTTTATACTACTGGGTAAACTGAAAAACGCATTAGCTTATTAGCCACACAACTTTAAGCCATTTTACATTAAACAAAGGAGAAAAAGGGATTTTTATATTTTTTAAAAATAATAAACAAGGATTGGCTGCTGCTGTCAGGTACAAGAGTATAAATCCAGAGTGAACCTGCTGAGGCGACTGGATTAATCTGGGAAATATGCAGTATATGTGATTGCAGAATTTAAGTTTTTAATCTGACAACCCTGCACTCCATTCCCAGAGTGTCAGATGTTTTCAAATAAATTAGTGAAGTTTAATAATCCCTTCTATGACAGCCCCACTGTGTTTGCATGGTCCTGGTACAGACCTCCAGTGCAAAACTGAATCAAATCACATATTACACCAGGAGCGATGGGGGACTGGGATGGCACATTCATGGGTTTGTTTTCTAAAACAATGCTGTGTTTTCTGCTTTCTAATGGTTCTTTTTTATCAAAGATCAGGCTGAGGTATTAACTAAAAAAAATCATGTTGGAAAGGATGTAAAACCGAAGGCTATATATGTATATACAGTATGTTTAAAGCCTTTTATTTTTATATTTTGAATGCTCTAAATTAATAAAAGACTTAATTATAAAGCATTTTGCTTTTAATTTTCAAAATTACCTTAGTAGTGTCTTCTCTTTGGCTAAGCACTGATAATGAAGTGCAACAACAAGGAACTTTTACCTTAAAATTATAAACTGTAACAGAGCTAATTTTATTGATTTTAGCTATGAAGTAGCATAGGTATGAGAAGTTGCTGTTGTCAGATTTAGACAAAAGAGAGGTTTATTGAGCATGTCAGTACAAGCATCCTTGAAAGTGCTGAGAACACATTTGTATTCTTAGCTTTTTGTTGCTTTTCTAATGCGTTAAAAACACTCGTGAGACGAGACTTCACATGTGAACTGTAATTTTCAAATAATATTCTGGAAAGATATTACTGGGATTACTGGGAAAAAAGGTTTGTACCTCCTTAAGAGGAAGAAGATTTCAAGTTAACAGTGTGACTGTAGTATGGAGTGATACAGAAATTTTCAGCAATTGTAAGATATACATTAATTTGACAACAAACCAAATTTAGATAATAGGAATGTTTTTATAACAGAACAATGTGCATATTTAAGTTATTTAAAGAGTTCTTGAAAAGAAGCTGTAGAGTGGGACAACTACATGAACTGAAATTGTGTCTTCAATTAGCATAGCAGAAATTACCATATTTCACAGAGCTAGTTAGAATGGCTAGTAAAGACAGGAGTACCTCACTGAAATGTTATTTATATTTACAGTGACTAGAAAAAGCAACAATTTTAGCTTTAGCTTAAAATTTTTTATCTATAGAAAGGCGCGTTTCTTCAAGGTGTATGGCTAGCCAATCAGGACTGCATATGTGCTATCCGTCTAGAACATTGTTTCTCCATCCCACAATGGTAATGAAAGGCTAAAGGGGCACTCAAGGTACATTGAGCATTTTTATCACAGGACAGCTCTCTTAAGCAATAGTGTAGGAAGGTGGATAAAAAATTCACAGTAAAGTCTCATATGCCTAAAAGTATTTATTTCTGTTGATTTATTTACTAATTTCTTCTATGATTCCCACAGTTGTTTTATGCAACCTGATTCAGACTAATTATTTTCAGTATCTTCTGCAGCTTGAGTGAGATTTATGTGATATATATGGCTACAAACAAGTAGGACATTTAAGTTTGTGGGTTTTTTAGGTTGTGGCTAGTTGTGCTGTCCTTTTACTATCTTAACTCCCAACAACTTAAGAAGCTTTTCTATCGATGTCGAAATTGTACTGGACTGAATTGAAGCTGGACCCAAGATTGATGCAAGAGTTTGCAGAGTATGCGTTGTGTTCTTAACCTGGAGTCAATGGACCTGTCAGTTTAAAATAGTTTAGTATCTGGCCCCACAGGATTATTCAATTTTTTTTTCTTCAAAATCCTCTGAAAGTTATTATTTTGCCATTTCAGCTGAAATTTTTGAAAAAGTGTATTTCTACATAGTATAATTCAGTGTCCAGAATTTTCAGTTTGTCCTTGAAAAACTAACTTGTTCCTGTCTCCTTTATATTTTCTCCTGATCCAGTAAAACAATTATAAATACCAACTGTGCTATTTACTTATGCATTTACAGAAAAGCATGCGCTTAAATGTTTTCTTGGATCATGACCTGAAGACTAAATTTGTTTTGAACTATATTAACATCAGTCTAATCTGAGGGCATTCAATATCGTAAAGGATGAGAATCACTTTATTTTATTAAAATGTATTTCAGAATGCATATAATTTTTTTAAAGAGTACATTTTTCAGAAGTGCTGCTTGTGATCAGCTCTGTCCTGAAGCCATGCATAAACGTATTCATAAACCAAAAGCATCACTGCACCACCTGGAAGAAAAGATATTATTTTACTACATATAAAATTCAGAATATTAAAGATTTTTAGAGCATTTGTAGTGTGTAATCTAAACCAGGATATGGCAAAGCCTTATTTGCAATGTGGATAATTCTACTAATTCCCTAATTCATTAAAAATTCACCAATTCTTAAACCATACTAATTTTACTTAATATTAGACCATAAAGTTGACGTGAAAAGCCTGTATATTAAGTCAAAATCACCCTCAGTGTGATTTTTTCTAACATTTTTTCAAGATTAGTATTTTTCTTCTTTCACAAGTGAAGCTTTTAATCTGTTTATATTTGTTTGTTTAGAGTTAGATTTGGCCATGTAAAAGCAACCTGAGTGGTGGAATGACAAAAAATCATCACCAGGGTGATGTAAATGCTTCCAGGTAAGATTCAAGAAAGGTTTTCAGCTGTTTGTTTACCATATCTACAGCAGAAGATTACAGTATTGAAATTAGTATGATCCTCCTGTGCCTGTACCTGGCTGTGAATCCACGGGCAAAATTCTGATGTGATGAAATGGCATTCTGTGCTAGAACTGATAACAGTGTAAAATCCCAGCTTGAATACCATACAGTATCTTCACTGTTAGTGAAGCCAGACTAAAGCCCTTCTGTAAATGGGCTGCAATTACTATGCGAGCTAAAGAAGGGAACATTTCAGAAGGTGTATATGTATGTGTGTGTGTGTGTGTATATATATATATGTATGTATATATATATATATATATATAAAAGTAAGCATATAGACAAGCTTCTAGTTGAAGAAGATGGGGAAAGAGAATCAGATTCTAGGCTGCAGGAGTAAAAGTGTGTTACAATGTGCTACTTGTGGTTACCAGCGCTGGGGTACAAATATTTTCTTTCCTTTACCTTTGCCTGTTGCCTCAGTCAGTGGGTTAGAGTGGCACCTCTAACAAACAAGTCTTCTGCTGAACTGGGCTGACCTTCCTAGGTGGATGCGATAAGCTCAACCAGGCACATAGAACTACCACCTGAGTTTTCCCATGTTATTTATCCTAACAAATCATCATCAGACTTAAAATCCTCTATGAACAGCAACTCACAGACAACTAGACAGAACAAAAGTTTGCAGGACCAACCAACAAATCAT